CACGCTCCGTCGAGACTAGTTAAATCCCAAGTGTCGATTACTTTCTGCTCTCCCGCAGTAGTCGGCACGACAGTAGCAAGACTTTCTAATTATCAGTTCCTCTAGTGCTTATATTCCTCTTCCAAAGACAAGCCTATACACATAAGCAGGTCAGTTATTTCTTCAATATGCAAGAGAGATTCAGTTTCTTTTAATATTAAACAAAAGGAAAAGACAAATCAAAACAACGGCGACGAAATCAAAACAAACAAAATTGGTGTTAATTCAAATTAAGAAGTTCAAATTTATTATTATGATTGTCAAATTTAACTATAAATAGGGGATGGCTAAAGCGGGGTAATACATGAAATCATCAAATTAATAACAAGTTTTTAATTAAGTTATTAACATTGAATATATATGAGTAAAATTTCATGCTGAACATTTTTACTTAGAAGTCAAAGGCTAGTTATTATAGTAAAATTTTGAGTTATTTATGAATTTTCTTTTTTTTTTGTTGCTTGTTTTGAACTTTATGTGTTACACATGATCTTGTAATTTGATTGGTTAACTTCGCCAACCTTGAAATTTAATTGGACTGATTTCTTGTGTTGCCCCGCTTTAGACGACCCCTATAAATAGAAATACTAATACTAAATCATAATGTAAACAGACTTATTGAAAAAGTTTTTCATTGGTAAATAATATGATCATCAGATCACGTTACTGCACGATTTGTCTGGTGCTACTGGAGAAATTATTAAAAGGCATAAATAAAAAAAAAAGATTGTGTGATGGTTAATCAAGAATGACAAATCACTTACAAGCCTATTTGCAATATTTTCTCGATACGCGACACGATTACTCGGCGATCGCTTTTTTCAAGATACACGGTTTCAACTACCGCGACAAAAAGACAGCTCATCGAACATTAAATAAATGTCTTGAATACTTGCGTTCAAGCTCGAAACCAGAATTGCAAACAATTTCTGCCAACGTATTGAAGACTTTAAAGGTATGATAAGTTTGAACAGTTCATGAGTTTCAAGTTCTACTAATAAGATCTCTTCTGACAGTGCAAGAAAGATATTAATGCCTTTTGGGCATCCAAAAAATGCGAGAAAAAAGATAATTTGGAAAAAAGAATTCAGATTGCCGAAAAGAAGAGCAAGTTGCATGATGTATGTATTGATTTTGCTTCGCGAACTTCAAATGATTGATGCCCTCGTTTATGCTAGGTTGAACAACACGCGGCCGCAAAAAAATTAAGATAATAATGTTCGCAAAAACTTTAATGCCGAAATATTAGGAAAAAGGGATAATATTCAAGATATGGAAAAGGATAAGTCAGTGCCTTCTATTCCAAAATCTCGTAAACGAAAAGTAAAAGACTTACCAGAAAATAAGGTATAACACTATTGGGTTCAAGGGTCTGATCTGAACAATAATTATAACTAATATTTTTTACAGAATATTAAGATGCGCCCCCTTGAACATCAACCTGAAAGTGAGCTTGAGGATGATGAAAATGAAGTATGTGAGGATGAATATGATGAAGATGACGAAAATGATGATGATGACTCGGACAGTGACGCTGAATCGATTAATGGAGATAAGGGTGAAGAAGAAATTGAGATGCTTACGCAGGTATTTATTTATTTGCAATCTTTTAATGCTTTTATATAACTGATAATAATTATATTTAATTTTCTAGGATGAAGTGAACGTCCGTAACGAATTACTCAAAATTCTTACTGCACGTCAAAAAAAAGATGAAGAAGCCGGGAAAGATTTTATGACATCAATATACCTCAACGGTATTATAGATTTATCAGATGATGAAATGCACAAGCGGATTAAAAAGTCCTTGAATAAAGAACAAAATAGTTGGCTTGAAGGAGTTCTTGAGAGAAAAACTTGGAAACCAACCCCCGAATATATGCAATATATTAATCAGTTTACTGAAGAAGTGTGTACCCGAAACGAGATCCCAACTATTGTTCGCAAATCTTGTGTTACTGGAAGATTTGATCCTTTTTATCACGAGGCACATGAAATCGCACAGCAAATATTAACGCATTGGTAGGTGTTCATTTTTTTGTTGACATTGACAATTTTCCTTATTATTACTTATTTTCCATGAGTAGTTCTGTCCGACTTGAAACCCCAATGAGAGTCGAATATAAAGGCCTCAATCTTGAAAGGACTTATGCGGTTGGCACCATAATATACTTTTTCAATCGACTATTCAGAATGCACCAAGATGAATTAGATGTTGCTTGGTAATTATCAATTTTGAAGTTTGAATTATTAATTTTGCTAATTTTTTATTTGTTTAAGGATTGAATCTCAAACTTCAGATACCAAAAATCATAAATTCGATGGACTGTACAAAGCGATCAGGTCATAATAATTATAGAATTTTCACGCGGACGAAAGACTCCCTCGTCTAAAAAATATGATGATCAGGTAAAACTGTGTCGAAATTCAATGAGAACTCTCAATAAACTATTACGGATCATTCCGAAGGATCTTGCACGAGTGTATTTAGTACAATCTTTCAGTAAGTATTACAATCAGAAGTTAATGGCATAAGGCTGGTTACTTACATATATTATACATTTTCTTTATAGATGGATTTATTGAAATAAAATATTTAGTTCGACCACTGCCAACAATATACAGTGGTCATCATAAATATCCGGAATTTAATCTCACAAACAAAAAATTTTATTTTCATTATTTTTGTATGCTTAAATTTCGTACATACACTACCTGGACAAAAGTCTTGCACATCGAAAATTTTTAATTACATAAAATTGCACATAATAATTACATTTCAA